AGGATAAGGCGCAGGGCGCCAAGGCGCGCGAAGCCCTGCCCTAATACCCCTTCGGGGCATTTAGCCAGGTTACTACGTAACAGTTGCCGCCAGCAGAAAAAGACCACGTCCTCGTGGTCACAGCAGCAGCGTGGCAAAACGCAGAAAATGCACAAACAACAGCATCTCTCCGAGCTGACACTCTCTCCTGATTCGGTCTAGCGCCGCAGCCGCGGTCGAGGCTCTCCGTAGAGGGTCGATCCATCGGCCTGGCGACGCCCTTGGAGTCTAGAGCGCCGCAGGGCGTCTTCGTACGCCTGCACTGACTTTTGAGCATTCAGAAATGCTGTTTGAGCCTCCCAAGTATCGTCATCCTCGCTAAAGCCATGCTATCTAACCTTGTATGTTATTGCCTCGCTGTTGACGAGCTTGCTTACTATCTTCTTTATCTCCTATTATTTCATCCCTTTTTCGTCAATATAGTCTGGTGGAGGAGGTACATTTCGCTGATAGGGGTCGTCTTTAGAGTCTGGCGCAGAGTCAAGATAGATCTTATTAATGACTTGGTGGATGCCCTAGCTAGCAGGCAGGTCCATTCGTAGCGCGTTGCCCTTGCCCATGGTCTCTAGAATTCGAAAGGCTCTTGTATAACGTGGAGATAACACAAATTTACGTGTTAAAGACAATAAGTAGGTCTTTAGCGAAAGACGTAGTTAAGCCCACCTAGATTTGAAAGATCAGTCTTGTAAAGCTCTGTTAGCTATTGTATTAGTCGTTAATTAAAGCCCTTCTATTATGATATTTCTTGCTGCCTGCTATTTAGTAACAAGTTGCTTTAGCGCTTCTGATATTAATAGCATTAATTAAGTAGCAGAGGTAAAGTTATAGATTACCTAAAATAAGGTCTATTTAATAATAGATAAGTAGTTCACATTAAAATAGAACTTAATAGTAAGTAAGAAAAGTCTCTAGTCAGCCTATGTTGCGTTAATATAAAAGTGTAGAGCTATCTCTAGCTCTTAATTAATACGTTCAGACTGCCTATTTATAGATAGGTAGTATACTATAATATAGATTAGCTGCGTGTTAGCTAATTTAAATACTCTTTTCTAAAGCGCAGCTATAAATTATATGTCTTTATTAGTAGTAATAGTATTAGGTAAGCCATAGCCCCTCTTATAGAAAACGTTATCTTAAAGGCATTTAGCTTATTTCTTAGCTATTTACGCCTTCTTCCCTGTTTTAAAAGCTACTTATTTTGAAAATCAGTCAATGATGACTAGAATTATGTCATGTCTATCCTTTAAGGGTAGGTCAGTAATAAAATCTATTATTAAGGAATAAAAAAGCTATAGAGGTGCTTAAAGCGGTTAGAGAGGTGATATAAAGCCTATATAGTGTGGCTTGTTTATTCTGTATCCTGTATAGTAGTATATATAAGACAGGATATCTCTGCTTATTTTTAGCCACTATACGCCTGTAAGCGCCTTACGTAGCCGCGTATAGCCTT